ACCCACATTTTAAACAACTGCGCAATATCCAACCCCTTTGTCGAGGTAAAAATGTTACAGTTATTTCACAGGCACCTGAAGAAGCGACCTGTCATCATTGCAATGCGCGCAGACATTGAGGCAAAACTCTCTTATTACCAGCCCCGGGTACCTAAACTATTGCATGGGCTAATTTAGACATATATTTAAAAAAACCCCAAAAAACAACAACAACCAAGCCGTTCTATAGTTAATAACGTCAGTGCAAGTTTCCTTATTTTTGTTCTGTCTTCAGCTTCAACTTGGTGCTCTTTAAATAGAATAGGGCAGTCAGTTATTTCCAACAAGGGTTGTACGGCGCACTAATGGGCGATTACTTGGTATATTTTGGTGGGGCGGTGTGGACTGCCCTGATAGTGGCATAATGAATCATTTTATGATGACCCCTTTTGAACATAAGTGTGCGTGAGGCGATACTGACATTTTAGTCTCTTAAATGTCACCTGACCAGCCAACCTCGAGAGCCTACAATACCAAGCACTCAGGCTATAAAGGAAGGGGAAGGCCACGCAAAAAGTGGATCGAGGGTGTCAAAGAAACCCCGAGAAAACATAATATCTCAACTGAAAGAGCTGCGGAACTGGCCTACCATAGAAAACTGCATCTCCCCTCGACGCTTATCAGCAACAGAGGATGAAAAAGTAAAAAGTAAAAGAAAAGTAATGGGACAAAAGTGGGCAATGGCTGTGAAAAGTGAAAAGGTTGACAAGCAGTAGTGGAGTAGGGCCTTCATGGGGTCGCAAGGATACTTTCAGTTCCACCTAGCTGGAGTATCTCTGTGCTAAGTCATTGATACCTCCCCCGGAATGCCGGGAAAAGAAACTACAGCACGAAACAAGATTTGGATCTTTTTTTTATATCTAGGCCAGGATCTATTTCTTTCAAGTCATAAAGTCAAAGCTTACATAAAAGGAGAAGAGTATCATATTTAGGTCGGAGCTCCTTTGCGAGATTTCATTACACCCATTGCCCACTGACGAAATCTCAGTCGAATCCTAATTTGATAGTATTTGATCCATCTGAGGGCGCCAAAATTTTCCTTCGCAGAGAGGCAAAAGCTACAGTCTATTCTGATCCTCCAAAATCAAACATGTTTAATTTTAAAGTCCCTGTTGGGTGCGTTTGTTTAGTGAACATCGTGGCCAATGAAAAAGTGTCATATACATATATATACATAGCACTGCACGGTCAGAGTTTTGGTGTAGGCCTAGAATTTAGTTTTAGCTTCAGTAAGAGTTTTACGGTACTTGAAACACAATAAGGTTATAATAAAATATGACGTGCCGAAGACTAGAGATGTTACAAGAGAGTAACAAACACAGAAAAGAAAGAGGAGTGATAAGGACGATAGATGTTTGAAAGGAAAGAAGGAGCAAGCCACACCTGAGCACCCCCCCCCCCCAACCATCCACAAGCGTATCAAGTAAAACTACATGACAGGCCCAAATCGTATGTGCCGCAACGCGGTGGAATCAGGCACTCGTCAAAATTTGGGCATGTTGAGTTTTTGGTACCGACTTAAAGATTGTTCGTTTACCTTGCTTTCATTGAAAGAAAGAAACAAAAAACAACAACAAACAAACAGACAAACAAACAAACAAACAAACAAACAGACGAACGAGCAAACAGACAAATAAACAAACTGTTCTATTCGGGAATGAGACGTAGATCTATATCCCCCAAGTGCGATTGCTGACAGCCTAACCGTTACAGCGGCAAAGACGCCGGTGGGACAACGGAAGGGTTACCCCAACAAACGAACAGACGACTCCAGCAGCGAAGAAAAACGAAAAAACAAAAAGGAAATGAAGAGGTCAATGACACACAGAGAAACATTCACGCGTGTTCTTTTCTTCAAAACAACACGTGAAGCTGACTTCGGCAAAAAACAAACAACAGCAACGACAAACAAACTTCAAATGGCGTCTCCAAAAGACACAATATGAACAAGAAATAAAAGAAAAGAAGAAAAAAAAAAGAACAAAGAAAATAATTTTTTAAACTCAAAAGGATCATGTGTGAGAAATCTTTAGATAATAATATTCACACGTTTTCTGCCTCCCTTAATAAGGATAATTGGATTACGCGTTCAACAAAGAGAACATTGAGCACATTTTCAAAGAAAAATGCTGTGCAAACAACACAGACTTGTATTACGCCCTAGATCGTGCACTCTGACCTCTAGGTGTGTATTTGATGCACTTCCTTTTCACTATGGATGGCAATATATCACTCAAATAGAGGCAAATTCAGGGGAAAAAATACTAAAAAGGGAGGGGAGATTACAACTGACTGTTTCCTATTCTACCAAGATACAGTTCACAGGGGGCTCTCGTGGCCTAGAGGTTAAGGTGTTCGCCTCTCTTTCAAAGGTCTCGGGTTGGAATCCGGGTAACGACCGAACAATTTTCTTCTCTTAAATTGTCTCCTTTAGCCTCTTTTCCAGCTCTCTAGCAACGTTTTGTCGTCTGCTTTCGTCTCCACTTTCTGCCCCCACCCCCTCACCTCCTTTGCCCCCTCCTCTGGGGTCCTGACTCTTTCTGTGGCCTTCCTACTGTTACTCCTTGGCTCCTTCTTACTGCTGTCTTTCAGTCACACCCCTGATCTTCTGGTAAGAAAGATCTACATCTAGCTTTCTCGGACAAGGGCGAAAAATCTGTGAGGGCCCGTGTTGCGCACGTTAAAGATCCCTTGGTGGTTTAAAATCGATAAGAGTAGGCTTTGGCCGTCACCCGGGCAAAATTCAAAATTCCCTACCAGCTGAAAAAGTGTAATGTGTCCTGCGCGCTCATATGACCTTATGCTGTTGCAAGCGCCGTAAAACACTTACCCTCCCAATCCCTAACCCCCCCCCCCAAAAAAAAACCTCCCAAAAAACACAGTTCACACCCGCCCCCCTCCCCTCTTTGGGACCCCCACGGTGAGCCTGAAGGTTGTGCACCAAGCCAAACGGTGTGAAATAGTTTGATATAGTCAAACATTCTCTAACGGTGTCCTGTCAAAGACAATCACCTGTCGTCAATGTGTCCAGTCCTCACTTCCTCCTTTATGGTTTTCCCCTCAATAATACACACGTGATGTAATGACACTATTTGTGGTGTTCACCTGTCTAAGACAAACACATTTGTGAGGCAGCGTGGTGGAATCAGGCTCTCGTCAATTTTTGGGTATGTAGAGTTATTGGTATCATCTTAAAGCTTGTTCACTTGTCTTTATTTGGATGAAATAATATCCATTTATCTTAATTACAAGTCGAGATATTTGCAAAAGAAGGAGGTGGGGGTCACCTGTTTTCAGAGGTAAAAATAGTGAGACAATGGCCGCCAAAGATTAGTTTTTTTCTTAGCTTAAGAGTCCATGGTAACTGAAAATTTACATTTTTTGTGCCTTTAATCAACGTTTTTCAGAAAAAAATCCACACAAAAATGAGTTCTTTAACGGGCATGAAAATGAAAGGTGTTGAGCCCCCAAAACATATTTGATAAAAATTCACAAACCTGCAGAAAAATGCATGTTTCTTCACTTTGATTATTTTGACGAGAGCCTGATTCCACCACGCTGCCTCACATTTATCCTTGACAACGGGAGGCGGCCTGAGACCACTCTCGACAAACGATAAAGAAAATTCAGATCCCTCTTCAATAGATCCCTCTTCAATCGAAGAGGATCTGAATTTTCTCTATCCTTTCTCAGCAGTCCTTCATATTCCAGAACACTATCCTCATCTGGGTTCAAGATATGCTCCGCAACTGAACTGACCTTCAATACTTTTAATGGGACGGTGATTAACGTCAACGACAACAACAACGACAACAACAGCAACAGCAACAACAACAACAACAACAGCAACGACAGCAACAACGATTTAAATAAACAAACAATAGTGATAAAAAACAACAACAATAACAACAACAATAACATTGCTCAACGCTGATAAAAACGCCTTTTTCTTATTCGCAGCAGTTTCGAGATATCAACAATTTTTGGTTTTCTTTCAATACCTTAATAAACGAACTTTCATTTCTTTTTGGTCGTACTTTGCTATTTCAATTTACGGCAAAAGTGAGCGATTAAGTATGACAGTTGTCTTAAAATGAACGGTACAACTGTAATCTAGATTCAAAGAGAAATAAAATCCATAATATGCTGTCATATTCCAGCTCAAAATCAGGTGTGGCAGTTGTGTTGAAATTAACGTGAGAATTATAATCTGTATTCAAAGACAAAGACCCATATTATTATAATATTACGTTATGTCCTACGTCAGCTCAGGTCAGGAGCTCCTCGTAAGTGTCACGAAGTGGTGAACTCAGGCGCTGGTCAATAATGTTTGGCCGTTGAAGTTTTTATTGGTGCCATCTTAAAACCTGCTCAATTGTCTTGCTATTGGCGAAACAAATGCCCATCTATCTGGAATAGAAGTCAAGATATTGGAGATTGAAGAAGGTGGAGTCACCTGGTTTCAAAGGTAGAATTAGCGCGAAAATGGCCGCCAACGTTTGGTTATTTCTATAGCTTGATAGTTCGTGGAAACTGAAAACTTTTACTTTTTGTGCCTTTAATAAACGTTTTTCCCAGTAAAATCCACACAAAAATGTGTTTATAATTTTTAAGCCAGAAAACAAAAATTTTATAAACATTACCAAACTGGCAGAAAAGTGCCAGTTTCTTCATTTTCATTATTTTGATGAGCACCTGATTTCACCACGCTGCCTCACACATTGTTCTTCAAACCACCTGGTTCAGGAACGAGCCCAAAAAGCAGTGAAATCGAGAGAGTTAACTGGGACGCATTATATTTCTAGAGTTAGCTGAGAAAACGCTTTTAAAGATAGCCGTGGGGAGGGTGGGGGAGGGGGTGGGGCGGTTGGATGACCTTCTGTCAGTGGACTCTTACAAAATAATTGATTTGTCGTCATGACCATTAATTTACAAAAGCGTTCTTCTAACTTTTCAATGCTGATTAATTCAAAAACTACACTCTAGTCACACTTTCACATTGATGGTTTTTTCACACAAGCAGAGTAACTAAGCAGACTATCGATTAGCAAGCAAGAACTTTGGCTCGTAAAATTTTTAAAAAAGGTGTTTTATCGTCTTACTGCAGAACATCACGTGGGCGGTTGGTGGGTGCTCTGGTTTAGATTACTGCTTTTTTTCCTATGGATCTAGCCTTAGCCCAGTTAGAAACCAGTCAAGATGACCTGGATGCTTCGTCGTTCTTTTCTCTTCTCCTTCTTTTTTTGTTTTGTTTTGTTTGTAACTCTCTTGTAATACCTCTAATCTTCGAGCTTATATAACCTTATTGTGTTGCAAGTGCCGTTCAAGGCCATATATAACAGCAACAGAAAACCAAACTCCGGCAAATGTGCACGACACATAAAACCCTTTCTCCACCCTTAAAAGTGGGACGACGGGAAGTTTGGTTTAACAAACAGCTCAAATGGCAAACAAGAAAAATGAAATGATAGGGTCGCTTCCCTCGCAAACCACCCAGGTATGTTCTTTTCTTCAAAAGGAAATTTTAAGAAAGACTTTAAAAAATAAAATGAAATCTACAGAAATGTAAATGATTGTATTTTTTGTTACCTTTCAGAATACGTTACGGAGGACCAGGTAGGTCAACAAACATTTCAGACGAGTTATAAATATCACAGCTCGTGCACTGCCTGACGTAATTAAACGCAATATCTACAACAATATCACAACAATATCTACTACAACAACAGCAACAACAATAACAACAATAACACCAGCAATGGTGAATAAATCTCCAATAATAATATAGTGTAAAGCGCATAGAGCCTGCTGCTGGGCGGGGGATATGCGCTATACAAATGCTATCTATTATTATCATTATTATTAAATGCTTTCATTTACAGCCCCTCCTCCCCCCCCCCCCCGTTTTCCCCCCAAGGAAAGAGAGGTAAAACATTTTCCCGAGTTTTATTTTCTGACGTGGTTTGGACAGAATGCTCTCCAGCTGTTGGATCTTTCCGGATTGTGTTACTGAAGACGGTATGTTTTTTTTTGGGATTTTTTTTTGGTAAGTGTTTTACGGCGCTCTTAACTGCATAAGGTCATATGAGCGCGTGGGACACATAACATTTTTTCAGTTGGTATGAAATTTTGAATTTTGCCTGGGTGGCGACCGAAGCCTACTATTATCGATTTTAGACCACCACGGGATCTTTAACATGCGCAACTTGCACACGGGCCCTCCGAGATTTTTCGCCCTTGTCCGAGAAGGCTATGTGTAGATCTTTCTTACAAGAAGATCAGGGGTGTGGCTGAAAGAGAGCAGTAAGAAAGAGCCAAGGAGTAGCGGTAGAAAGGCTGTAGGAAGAGTCAGGAGCCCAGCGGAGGGGGCAAAGGAAGTGAGGGGGTGGGGGCAGAAAGTGGAGACGAAAGCAGACGACAGATCATTGCTAGAGAGCAGGAAAGGAGGTGAAAGGAGACAATATTAGAGAAGAAAAATTTTCGGTCGTTACCCGGATTCGAACCCGGGACCTTTGAACGAGAGGTCAACACCTTAACCTCTAGGCCACGAGAGCCCCTGCGGTATGTTTTATGTAGACTCGCTCCTTTTTCTCTTAGTCGTTGTATTTCGTCGCTTTAACATGTCTGTATTACCTCATTGTATTTCCGTCCTCAAAGCTGGCTGCAGTATGTAATTACCTCCCCCCTCCCCCCTTGCTGGTACATATTAAACTTACTGTAATCGAAGGAATATGGCAGAATGTGCAATGGCAGGTCGCGAAAGAGAAGGCCGAGGGGTCTTTACACGTCAACTTTTGAGCCAGACATGACACCTCCTGGTATTCCAGGTAACCGAAAAAAGGTCTTGTGCGTCATAAAATGTTACTTTTTGTATAATCTATTGGTATATATGGTCGCTTTTAAGGACAAGCGGGCTAACCCAGATTTCGGGGGTTTCCAGAAATCTTGACCTACACCAAAAGTGGGCATTGCTCTATCTATAGGAGAAGTTTGGTTTCACTGGTGTGTATATTTGTTTGGTTTTTAGAGAAAACTGTCCTTGTCTTTTAAAGAAACTGAACAAAGGACAAACGCTTTACCCTCGATTTTCTCAAAACAGCATTTTTCGGGATAGCCTCATTCTGCTTAAAAGCGAACAATTAGGGTTCTAAAACGCCAAGTGTGGTCAATACTTTTATACTGTTGTGAATGCTGGACAATCGTCAACGAAAGTAGAAATAAAATAGAAGCAACAGAGACATCATTACTTTGGAGAGTTTTGAGAATTTTATGGAAGGAAATTAAATCAAATAAGGAAATACTGACAGAAGTCCATTTGGTCCGTTCAGTGACAAGAACAATTTTAATAAGCTTTAAATACATTTTCCAAGACACCTGAATTAAAATAAAGGCGAACATCTTGCTTTTATGGGAAAAAAAAGACATATAAGGCAGGGATAGAACCAGAGAAACTTATTTTGAAAACCTCGAACAGATGAGTGTTGGGGAAACACCGGGATGATATTATATAATGATAGTTTTTTTTAGAGCATCCGAGAGGAGAAATGAATGAAGAACCAGGGTCGCCAAATATCTAGGGCAAATCTTGCACGTTATGGTGATGAAAGTAGAGAAAACAGTCAGGTGTAGCGTGTTTGGTCTTTGCTCTAGATCAGCCGTCACGATTACTTCGAATTGTAAGACTCGAATCTCTGTGAGGGCAGCCAACAGTCACAATGTCACGCTAAGCCCTCCTTGGGGCCTCAAATGTAGGACAGAACTTAAGGTAGAGCCAGGGGTGGAATTTTTGTTTATGCTCTATAATGTATTTTGTCATTTATTTACAGTAACCAATACAGGTCAAAAATAGAAACATGTCAGCCATGTATAATGTCATTGACAATCATTTTTATTTTTTAAATTGGAAATCAAATAGGTTCAACAGAACAAAACGCAAACAAATTCTGTGCAGAGGCTGTGAAAAAGATGGGAATAATAAAGCGTAGTTAATTCTTTCACACATGGAAAATGCGATCTGCAACGTACTTAAGATTCATTTTCTTAAACCTTACGCTGTTTCTTTTATCTGCCCTTTTAGTACCATTTACGATGCCCATTAAACTATCACAATAATCTTTAAGTACATTGCAGGCAAATCATTTAGAAAGATTCGTGCAAAGTGAAATGAAGTTGTGACTTGTAATTTCAGAAATATCTCTGAACAGGTGACCCACTCGCAGAACAAAATAATATATTTGAAAACATTGAAAACCCCCCCCCCCCCCCCCAAATCCAAGTATTTTGAACTACTCTATTTCAACGCCAAATATTGTACCTTTTATGCACTTTTATAAGCATCTTATGGTTGTTTTAGACACTAGGAGCTTTTTCTGACCGATTGAGTAGATGCTTCTGGACTTAAATAGCCCAAAATATAATAATAATAATAATAATGGATTGCATTTATATAGCACATATCCACTTATGCAATGCTCTATGCGCTTAACATGATACATATAATGGATTTACAAATCAATTTTAAAGATACATAGTGTTACATACTCATGCAAACACATATTCACTCACGCACGCACCACACACATATACATACTCACATACACACATACATACATATGCACATACGCACATACAAACTCACAACGATCTACAGCTTGGATGCATTCTGTCTAATCGAAATATGATGAAAATAGAAATGATTTTAGTTTCTTCTTAAAAATTTCTAGATTTTCTGCTTCTCTGATAGTTTTTGGAAGCCTATTCCAAACAAGTGGGGCAAAATATGAAAAAGAGCGTTGGCCATATGATTTGAAATTTATTTTAGGCTTAACAAGGGTTGTTTTGTCACTAGATGATCTGAGCGTTCTAGGAGGCACATAGGGTGTTAAAAGCTGTTTTAGATAGTCCGGTGATAAATCATTTAAGCACTTGTAGCAAGTTAAACAGATTTTATATATGATACGCTCTTTCACTGGGAGCCAGTGTTTTGCTTTTAAAATAGGAGTCACATGATCATGCTTTAGTTTTTTAGTAATTATTTTGGCAGCAATATTTTGTACTCTTTGTAGTTGTTGTAACTGTTCATCAGGTACACCAGCCAGTAAGGAATTGCAATAATATAGGGTAATAATCAATAATGGGCATCAAAACTGACCTTTTCTGAAGAGTACCTGGTGTACCTTAAGTAGCTGTTCGCACTTTGCACGCTATATAAACGGCTCTGTCCGTGTGACTGTGCTTTTTACCAGGTGTAAGTGCGCCAGATAGATATTGACGTAAGTAGTGGATCAAGTATTTGTGATCTTCTAGAAAAGCATACTTTTTGTTATTCTTCAAACTTTCTCCTTCTCTCTCTCTTCTCTTCTCTCTCTCTCTCACTCTCTCTCTCTCTCTCTCTCTCTCTCGCTCGCTCTCTCTCTCTCATTCCCTCTCTCTTTACATAATATATTCTCTGTTTGTCTCTCTCTCTCCTCTCTCTCTCCCTCTCTATCTCTATTTTTCTCCCTCTATCTCAGGCTCTCTTCTTTGGCCACTTTCTCCCATCTCTCCCCTTCCCTCGCTCCCCCTCTGTCTCTTTCTCCCCCCCCCCTCTCTCTCTCTTTCTCTCTCTCTCTCTCTTAACGTCGTTCTTTTTCCTCTTCTATACCCCCCCCCCCCAATCTCTTTACCCTTTACCCATCTTCATTCTGTTTAGTATCCCTCTCCGAATCGTTCTTTTAATTTTTTCCTGTTCATCATCTTCTTTTTTTTTTCTTTTTGTAAATGATTTACGGCCCTCGCAACTGCATAAGGGAAGGCCACAAGAGTGCGCGGGACACACCAAACATTTTCAATTGGTAGGACATTTTTTAATTTTTGCCCGGATGGCAGCCGGAGCCTACTCTTATCGACTTAAGACCACCAAAGGATCTTTAACGTGCGCAACTTGCACACGAGACCTCCGAGATTTTTCGCCCTTGTCCGAGAAGGCTAGGTGTAAATGTTTCCTACCAGAAGCTCAGGGGTGTGGCAGAAAGACAGCAGTAAGAAGGAGCCAAGGAGTAGCAGTAGAAAGGCTGCAGAAAGAGTCAGGAGCCCAGTGGAGGAGGCAAAGGAGGTGAGGGGGTGGGGGAAGAAAGTGAAGACGAAAGCAGACGACAGAATGTTACAAGAGAGAATGAAAGCAGGTGAAAGGAGACAATTCTAGAGAAGAACATTTTTCGGTCGCAACCCGGATTCGAAACCTTTGAATGAGAGGCGAACACCTCAAACCTCTAGGCCACGAGAACCCCCTTCATCATAATCGCTACGAATGTAGCATTGTCATAGTTTGTAAAGCGTATTTGAGCGTATTTTCCCCCATGCCATTGAAAATCTCCTTATGTCACCACCACGTGTATTTTTATTTTCATCTTGTCTGTATCAATGCTTACCTTGCCACTTCATCAATATGATTTTTATCAAGCCACCGACAGCCTTTTCTATAGAGGTATCCATTCCCCTCCCCCTTTTGCCACTCTCAATTTGAATAACACTTTTTTAAATGTCATTATTATTTTTTCAATTATTTTTACGGCCCTCGCAACTGCACACGGTCATATGAGCTTGCGAAAAAATCGGTTCCGTTCGTAAAAGTTCACTGCACAGCCTGACCCTAGTCAACATGTCTACCAGAATGTTAAATTGCTAAAACTTTGATGTAAATAAATAAAATTTCATGTATTTAATACATTCTCAATTGAAAATAACTTTTTCAAATATCATTGAAAGTTCCAACGCTTTTCACAACTTTCCGTGAAGGCCTGGAAGCAACGACGGAAAACAGATCTTTCAATTTTTTGTGTTTAAAATATTTCCTTCGGGTCTCTCCGAAGTCTAGGTTTAATGTTAAAATGTGTCTGATGGTAAAATCTGCGTACGGCTTTTCATCACCCTCAAGGAGGTATTTATGTGTCAGGGACGCGTGTCCGATGCGTAATCGAGTAAAAATGACTTCGTCTGTTCTGGTGAGGCCCGAAGGTTTTCGGGGACCCATTTTGGGTTTAATGTTGTGTTTATTGTTTTCTTGTTTTTTGCCAATGAGTCTCCCACAGACTTGAGACCTTCCCCCCCCCCCTCCATTCATCAACATTGCCTTTCTCTCTCAAAAAAAAGTCGGACACCATTTTTTAAATCAAGATCTGAAATTAGACATAATATTTATTTATTAAAGTGACCCCAGTTCTTTACGATTTTTTTAGAAGACGCTTTTAATTAACTTCGTCTTTGTTTGCACCCATGACTTGTTTCTAGTGCATGTAATTTTCATTTACCGGCGTCTGTGGTGTAGGGGTGAGTGGGGTATCACAGTCGCAAGCAAAATACGTGAGTTCGGTTCCCGAGAGGGGATTTAAAACAAAAAGTATTTCCGCCAGATGAGGGAAAGATCAGGGAAACGTAGTTTTTTTGAGAACATCCGAGCAAAGGAATGGATGGAGAACCATGATCGCCGATGTCTGTCGCAGATCTGGCACTGGATGATGATAATGATGATGATCTCCTCCAGCCTGCTTAGACGATGTATCTCTCCTCCCGGGTTGGCCTTGATAGACAGGGTGGAGGCAGTCTGCCTACTATATTGTCTTAATGAATCATTATGGGCGTAAAACAGCTTCTATAACAGTACATTAACGGTTTCTTTTTTATTTTTGAAATAAAATCAATTTCTGTCTTTTTTGCGATCATTCTTTTGTCTTTTCTCCTTTTTTTCTCTTTCGATTATCTCTCCTGATCTATTTTTTTTCTCTTCTCCCCATGTAGTTTCCCACATTCCCAGCAAAGAGTCTTCCACAAAGATGCGCTCACTACTAACCGTCATCCTGACCTTGTGCATGATCGTCGAAAGGTCACGAGGGAAGATCTTTGACCTTTCACACGAACACACTGAGAACACGTTCTTCTTTGACGGATACGTGGCATATGGGTAAGAGTTTCTGTCTGCTAAGATGTTGTACTCCTCTCTGCCAGGATTGGCACTGCCAGGCAGGGTCGAAGCCCGCTTCCTGAAATAATCTTTACTGTATCCACGATGCGAAGCAACACTCACACTGACCCCCCCCCCCCATAAAACCCAGGTTAATTCATCGTTAATTGTTTACCGCAAAGAGTGCCTATTCCCCGAATTCATCGAGGTAAACTGGAACAACTTATACAATCGTGGTTTTCCTGCCATAAGCCTAACTTCTCAAATGTTTTTTTTGTTTTGTTTTTCACCCAGCTGCCCCACCAAGTGAAAACTCAAACGTATAGATTGTTGCAAAAATATTTGTTACGAAAATCTTTGGCTGAGCCACATGAATGTAACGAAAAACAATGAAGAATCACAACATTTTTAATAGAAACCTGATTTGGAAGGGAAGAAGTCAAGCAGGCAGAACAGCGAGAGAGAGAGGATGTTTTACTGTATGGAGTTCCGAGAACCGACGTCAAAAGTGATGGAAAAGCTTGGACAGACCATCATCAATAATTTATTTATAGAGGCACCAGCAATCCATGTCCAAGCTCTGTTTTAGCCGGAAAAACTTGGAAGAAATAAAAACAGATTTTCTTAGATTCATTTCATCGAGGAATCATTATCGCCACAAGGTGCAAGAGGTGAAACAGACATCGGCAATTACGATTTTCCATTCATTAAAAATGTCTCCCCTCGTATGCTTTAAAAAAATTGATATAATCCTGTATGCCCATGCCACCCATTGTTGAGGAATAATAATCATCATCCAGTGCCAGATCTGCGACAGACATTGGCGATCATGGTTCTCCATTCATTCCTTTGCTCGGAAGCTTTTAAAAAAGCTACGTTTCCCTGATCTTTCCCTGTTACCCACTTCTTCAGGTTCCCTAAGTAGGTTGCTCTGGGCCTACCTCTGCCTCGTTTGCCTACATTTTTTGCCAGTGAGAGCTAGACGTTCAAGACCTTTACGTCTATTTAGGTGTTCCAAAAACTGTATTTGTCGTTTCTTGATTGTTTTTAACAGTGAGCGTCCCACATGGGCTTCATCAAGCACTACCTCATTTGATTTCTTTTCCTTCCACGATACTCTTAGCCGTCTCTTAAGAAACCACATTTCTGTTGCTTCCATTTTATTTTCACTATCTTTAGTGATTGTCCAGCATTCACAGCCGTATAGAAGGGTTGACCATACACAGTATTTCAGGACTTTCATTTTGGTAGTCATTGAGGTGATTCTGTTTTTCAGGATTGGGCTCATTTTATGGAAACTGATAATAAGATTTTATTTTTATGTTTCTATTCCAGACGTTTAATGGTTCAGGCGGGCACGGTCCCATGGGGCATCTTCGTGGAAAGCGGCGTGATAATGAGTTCAGAACATTCCGGAACACACATGGATGCCCCATCCCATTTCAAAGAAAGTGAGTTGTAGTATTTTCTTTGTATTGTTTGTTTTTAGTAAGGTTTTACGTCGCTCGCAACTGCATAAGGTCATAATATGATCGCCAAAGAGGCCGATGCCAACAGAGAACTCCAAACAGGGAATCAGGCTTACTCTGCTCACCTCTCTAGCCTAGCCCCGACAGCACAAATTCTGCTTCGACTAAAAAGGCACCCCGGAAAAAGCAATTCACAAGAGAGTGACATGTATAGAGAGAAAGTATAAACGATGCGCCGTTTATGTGTGTTGCTATTATATTTGAAAGGACGAGGGAAAGGGCAGAGTCACAATCTAGAAATCGTGGTGGTATCAATTTTAAAAGCTTGTAGATTCACAACTTTATTTCCGTTCTCATGTTGGTTGATGGTTATCGTTTGACCTTCCTTTTAGTTAACAATAACGATACATCTCCTGTCAAACAGAAATGAAGTTAATAGTATACAAACCTTTTAAAATGGATACGTTCATGATTTCTATTTTGTCCTTTATTTCTATGTTCTTCAGTCAGGGTTGAGTGCCGTATAAATACATTATCGTGTTATTCATTCTCAGTATAGACGCATTCAAAATGATATTATGTTTAATGTTTTGTGCGAGGTATTTGTGTGTGTGTGTGTGTGTGTGTGGGTGTGTGTGTGTGTGTGTGTGTGTGTGTGTGTGTGCGCGCGCGCTTGTGTGTGTCTATGTGAAGGTGTGTATGTGTGTGCGTATGTGGGTGTGAAGGGGAGTGAGTGTGTGTGTGTGTGTGTGTGTGTGTGTGTGTGTGTGTGTGTGTGTGTGTGTGTGTGTGTGCAAGTGAGAGGGGTGGGGTTGGGTTGAGAACATATTTTATTCCAAAGCACAGACCATTTGTCTCGCACAAAGTCAAATCGCTTAAATTTTGCTCAAGTATGGCAAGAGTGTTTGTGAATTAAAAAAAACAACCTTTCCACTGAAGGTGATTTCCCTCCCCCACCGACTATATTTACATTATTTAGGAGGCAGGTTTCAACTGCCTGTTAGGGCCCAGCTGGGCTGACAGAGATACAAGCTTCCAGCAGAACGACCGAGATACTGGATAAAAAATTCAGGGAAGCGCCAAACTGCTACATCTACATGAAGGACACCATTTTGGGGGGGGGGGGGGGGGGGCTGACAGGAGGTGTTTAAGTCCATTACGTGTTGCACGAAGCATAACATCTCTTTCAGTTCCCCTTTAGAGCGTTGGTTCGTATGACTTTGCAGTCTTTTCGTCTAACGAAAAAACGCTATTCGCTGAAAATATTATGGCCTCATACGACATACGCTATGAAGACATTACCTTACTGAAGGCATAACGTCGAGGGTCTTGGGTACCCCAAAAGAGATTGTTATTCACGGAGGATGTACATGTTGGTTTGTACTTATTGCAAATGTTCCAGGTCCCAATCTTTTCTTTATTTCTTGTTCATTGTCTGTTTTTTTTATTAAAGTTAGTGTTTTAAGGTGTTCGCAACTGCATAAGGTCATATGAGCGCACGGGACACATTAAACATTTTCAGTTGGTTGGACATTTGAAATTTTCCCCCGGTGGCGGCCGAAGCCAACTCTTATTGATTTTGGACCACCAAGGGATCTTTTATGCGCGCAACTCGCACACAGCCCTCTGAGATTTTTCGCCCTCGCCTGAGAAGGCTAGGTTCAGATCTTTTCTACCAGAAGATCAGGGGTGTGGCTGAAATACAGCAGTAAAAAGGAGCCAAGGAGTAGCAGTAGAAAGGCTGCAGAAAAAGTCAAGAGCCCAGAGGAGGGGGCAAAGGAGGTGAAGGGGGGGGGGGGGGCAGAAAGTGGAGAGAAAAGAAAAAGAAAAAAAAACATTGATGGAGAACAGGTGAAGGGAGAACATTTTAGAGAAGCCTGGACCTACTGAATGAGAGGCGAACATCTTAACCTCTTGGCCACGAGAGCCCTGTTGTCCGTTTACCTCGCCGGATAGTTTTCCGTTTTGATCACTCCGTTTGTGTTTCCTTTTGTTTTCTGGAGCAATATTAACTCTTTAAAGACGTAGAGGACAAATACGTCCGATCAGCAGTACGCCAAAGGCAACGTTGTGACACATTTCGACTCATCTTACACAAATTAGAAACATGATTTACATTTCATCGTGTATCTTTTGTTACTCGTAATTTTAAAACAGAATGAAAAAGTGTGTGAATAAACAGAATGAAAAAGTGTGTGAATAAACAAATGCTTTTTTTCAAAGCGCCCCTAAACCGCATGTATTTAATTAAATAAAACGTTTTGATAACCAGAATGCGCGTAGTCAAAGAATCATATGACCTTATGCAGTTGCGAGCGCCGTAAAACCCTCTACAACAATTTTAAAAAGTAGTCAATGAATTTATATCCACTGCCGGCCTGCTAAGCCAGTCACAGTTTCACCAGAGCCCTGTTAGCCGGCAACGTTTCAGGGTGACCCGGGTCGGCCTTCACGGCTAGCGTAACAACGCTTCGGTGAACCAGGTCACACTGTACTTCTCCCGGACCCAGCTATCCCCAACCAAAGATAGAATTAGGGTATAGCGCTCTAGTACCTTTGCCCCCTACTTTGTTCTGTTTCCATCTCGCACGGGGTGGACGAGGGGTTGGACTTTGACAGTCGCCGGTTTGTCTGTTTCTAGTAATTCATTCGTACTAACTGCGGTGAGGTTATTGAACACACAGTGCTACAAATGAGAGAGAGAGAGAGAGAGAGAGAGAGAGAGAGAGAGAGAGAGAGAGAGAGAGAGAGAGAGAGAGAGAGAGAGAGAGAGAGAGAGAGAGAGAGAGAGAGAGAGAGAGAGAGAGAGAGGTTGTTTTACGGAGCGGGTTGTCATGTATTTACTAATGTCCTGTCTTGTTGTGAGTGTATGTATGTGTGCACCTAACCTTTGTAACGTCTACTGCCATTTTTAACGACCAAGACAAATTTCTCCTGGCGAGATGCATAAAGGTTGTCATTGTCAAAAACTCAGTAAAATAAGCGCTCAACCCCCCCCCCCCCTCGTGTGTCGCTTTTATTATCACTTCGACAAGTTTTCCATGTCAGTTATCTGCACAGGTTTCAATTTAAATCTTCTTTTCATAGTCAGAGGTAGATCTTGCCTCGTTTTGGCATATTACTTGTTGAACTGCTAATAGGAATCTATTATCTATTTGTGGTGGCCGAATTTTGCTATCCAAAAAGCTTTTTAATGGCTGCATCGATCGACATGCAGTTTTCACCAAAAGATTCTTTAAAATATTCTCCAGATCATATCGCCCTTCGTTTTTTCAGTATTGAGACAGGTTTGCTGCAAAAAGCTGCATTTCTTTATTTCGCCGATCGCTTTTGTAGGCCGACGCTTCTGTCTCTGCAATTTTAGAAAATCCGGTGCGGAAGTGATATTTTGCGAGGTGCATTTTGTTTCGAGAGTAAAGATCTAGATCTAGACTTTCTAATTTTTTGCATCTCTCAAGATTTATTGCTCCATTCCAGTAGAGTGTAAATTTAGTAGGCCAATGACTTTCAGTTGATGTTCATGCACCGATCATTCCTTTCATCGAAAGGGGGCCAAGCTAGTAATTTATAAAGAAGAGAAACTTGAATTCGAAGGGCAAAATGGTACGTTGAAAACATCATAAAAAGGTATTCTTGCAGTTCGGCGAGGTCTAACTCCCATTCCTTTGAGCAACTGCCAAAAGGCCTTCGCCCAAGAAAACCCGTTTGGGCTGAATACTGATACTGGTTCAGTTTACTGTTAGTTGACAGAGCTAGTCGAACCGTGACGAAGTTGATAAAAACCTCAAACCAAGTGACATTGTCTATTACGAGCTGGGGTCTCGCGGTGTCGGCCGAGATTATAAGAAGGGTAAATAACACGAGGGCTCTCTTTTGTGACTCTGAACTAGTGCTGGGCGGCTAGGTTCCCGATTATTTTAAAAGCTAGGAATCGTAGGAATCGACTCCGAACTCAATTACCTACTTTCTAATAATGTGATTTTTCCCGGTGGTTACCTGGTTGGCTCCGAACATCTTCAGGATTTAGGATAACCTTGATTTCGGAACACTACGAAGCACCAACTTTTATTTTTCAAAAATAAATTCTTAAAAAAAAAAAAAAATTTAATGATAAAAGTAACTGGCAACCATTGGTTTACGTAAAAAGGAGACGGAACTTTACATCCGTTGTATTAATCGTGGGAATCGGTTCCGGAATCAACTCTTCGCCCAGCTCTACTCTGAACCCACACCCGTTCCCTTTCTCCCACCCTTCAAAAACATCTCTAAGCCAGTTCTGTTCGAACGAGGTTACGAGGAGGGTGAAAGCTACGAGGGCCTTTTTTTATAACCCGAGCTTCAGTCCCGTCCCCTGCTTTCACGCCCACCCCCACCCCCCTTAACAGAAAATACTTAATTCAGATCAGTTTTGGCCGAGACTATGAAGAGGGTGAATATTATGAGGGCGGTTTTTTAAATATAATTTTGAACGCCCGTCCCACCTCCTGCCCCTCCCCTGTCCTGAAAAAGAAAACTTTCAGCGGAGCGCATACCCAGTTCTCGATTACAACCCCCTCCCCTCCACACACAAGCAGAAGAAAATCTGATAGCCTCAAAGAAGCACGTAGGTACCCCGAACCATCGCCCTTAAAGCCCCCGGTCCCACAAAGACTGACAGAAGAATACAATAATATAACTAAAGCAAAATCTAGAGCTGGAACATTTTCACCTCCATTGAGCCATATTTGTGCAGCGAGTTGGCCAAACAATGCAGTAACTCAGATAGGTGGTAAGTTGTAATAAGCTTATGATGACACAGTTTAAAAAAATCTTATGCAGCCATCTCAGATTCGTACGATAATGTTCTGATCCCAAGTCCAGTAAAACGCAGAGGCAATTTTATTCACTGTGTGGTACATGTATTGATATTGAGATTCGGCAATGGAGTCGCGTTGATATCGTTAAATAGTGTGTGGCTCTGATAATGCGTAACTTTGATAACTTTCTTTGTTTGTGAAATTGCGCGGCTCTGATAATAATAATAATAAATAATAATAAATAGCATTTGTATAGCGCATATCCCCGCTCAACAGAAGGCTCTGTGCGCGGCTCTGATAACTCCCCATTCCTTTGTGTTAAACACCGGGACTGTTTTGCGACTGGCTAAAATTTGTTTGCCAATAAAATTTAATGTTGTGCCTGATATATTATACCATGACCTACAAAACGAGATGAATCTGGATAAACCTGGCTACCATGATCTCTGTATCAGATGACACTTTGTGGACCGTGACGAAGCGGCCTTTTCTAAAGTCAACGTTCCAGGCTATCGAGTTTTGGCCCCGATTCATAATGTCGATACGGCAATGCTTTTCAGACAATTTTGTAGCTCCAATTTCATTTTCGACATTATGAATTGGGGCCAAAATCAGTATGAAAAGTATTATTATACCCCCTCACCTTTTTCCCTAATGGTAAAGTGAAAAACAAATGAAGTTAAAAACAAACAAACAAACAAACAGACAAACATACAAACAAACACACACCTACTTTAAAAATACAGAAACAAAATCTCAAACAAGCCAACAAAACAAGGGGATAAATAATACAAGACAATAGCTGAAGAAAAAGGCAACATAACCCTCTCAGAACAGCAAAAGAAGACAGTCAAGGCATTGACACCCCAAGCACGCACTTTACGCTTAAGGGGCGGGCGTGGCTACACCCCCAAAGCCCCGATTCGGCTAAAAATTATGGAATTTGAGCGGTAGGCAATTCTAGCTTCTTCAGCCTCTCCTACAACTATTTCATGGCATAAGAACCCCCCATAAACCGTATTTTTTCCCATACCGGGTAAGTTTATCACCACCATTAAAAATTTTTTTTCTTTACCGGCCATTTTCTCAAAACGCGACTTTTCTCTATATGTTTTTGAATAACTCCATCATTTTTCATTCACTCTTCATGACATTTTCACAGAATGAAGAGCAAATGTTATACTAAACATAACATTGTTGAATTTTTGATATTTGGAATAGTTTTTTGTTGGTGGTGTCTTGAGTGTGGACTTTCACGGATTTTTTGCAAACTTGAATGTAGCATTCAGAAAAAAATTCATTAAAATTTTAAAAATTCGTTTAGGAAAAAAACAACAGACAAAATTTTAGATATAATGTTTGTTAACACGCATGCAAAAACCAATCAATTTCCATGAGCAGTAAGTGCGGTATTCATTACGTAAGACATGTCAACAAAATCCAATATGGCCGCCGTATCCATGGACACGAAACTTTTTTCTCAAATTTGTTTGCGGTTTTTAAGACTCCTTACTATGTAACCCCCCCCCCCCTTAACCAACAAATGGGAGAGATCCTTTGGCAGCCCACCCACTTTGACAATATGCCTCTTAGCGTCGCCACTGAAACCTAACCGTCTGTTTAAGATATCACTTTGAAAAATGAAATTTTAATGTTCCTGAATCTAAAAAACAAAAAACAAACCGTTTCTCAGTTTAAAGCAGTTGGGAGTTTTCGTCAGAGGCCAATTTTTTTTGCCTTTCCAAGCAAATGCAGAACCCACAAAAGGCAGCTAAAACCTATCTTATGTTTGAATTTCTTTCCTTCGCCTGAATAAGTGTTCCTTTAGAAATGTAGGCCTATTCGTAAACAGCCATAACATTTATTGGTAACGTCGGAAAGTAAACAGAGCACGACTTCATGTTCCCAAAATGAAGTTACATTCAGGGACATTTCATTCGGAATCTGGAGCTGGTTTGTTATTTCGCTACATCATGCTTAGATGTTGTATTTGCCTGGCTAGTGTAAGTGGGTTTTTCTTTAAGTACATACTCTGAGGTATCGAATAAATCTCCCCCCTCCCCGCTTATTAATTTCCAGTTTTTTCGCGCACTCCCCCCCCCTTTGCGCCTTATTCCATACCCCCCCCCATTTATTATTTTCCAGCTTGCCACGACCGACGATCATGTGAAACATTATATCTAGAACCTAGATATCTGAATGAAACTTCTTTTTTTGTTGTAAATGGCAAATTACCCTCAGTATTAGTACCGGTACCGGGTTGGCTACCTCAATTTTCTGTGCATTAAAACTTTTGTACATTGGTTAATATTTTTAAAGCGAAACTGGTTTGTTCTTGTGAAAAGTTGTCTCAGTTACTTACTAAAATCACTAAAATTTCATAACCTCTTGTTCTTTTATTCACTGAAGGAGAAATAAAACAGATTTGTTCCTATTAGTGCAGGGTTATGAGGTTGAAAATAATGCCCTCCCCCCACATTTTTATTCCACCCCCCCCCCGTCCGTTTATCAGTTTTAGACCACTTGTCCACCGCTCCCCCCTTTTAAAAATTCATACCCCCCCTCTTTCATTCGATACCTTAGAGTACAGTTTCAGCCCTTGAGTCGACAAAAAGAGCCGCAGTTTTTTAACGGTGTATGCATGCCACTCAAGACAGAGTGCAATGGAGGTCCATGATCGCCCACATCAGTCCACAAGGCGTCGGATGATGATGATGATGATGATGATGATGATGATGATGATGATGATGATGATGATGGTGGTGGTGATGATGATGATGATGATGATGATAATGATGATGATGATGATGATAATGATGATGATGCACGTCACTAGCGCTTTGGAGAGCTAAACTTCTTTAATGTACACCTGCTCTGGAAGAGTCTGCACCTATCATGCCCTCTCACTTTACCTTTCTTCTGCTTGATGTTAACATAATTCCCCCCCCCCCCCGGGGTAGTGCCACTGACTGAAGTGTCTTTAGGCCATTCCCAAAGGGGGGGGGGGGCATATCTCGTTCAAGCATAGTAGAATTGTAAATGGGCTGACTCATGTCACGCTCATAACTGTGCATGATCTACAACAGGGAACTGCTGCCTTTTCTTTCCCGATCCTTACTATTGTCATTTTCCTCTACTTCTTTTGTATGTTTGTCACTCCCTTGTGACCTGTTATTTTGGGGAGCCTTGATAGTCGAAGCAGACCTTGTGCTGCTGAAGCTAGAGAGGTGAGCAGTCTAAGTCTGATTCCCTGTAAAGACCTCTCTGTTGACATCCACCCCTTGGCGCACATATGACCTTATGCAGTTGCGAGCGCCATAAAACCCTCTAGTAAAAAAACCCCCCAAAACCCCCTAAAAAAACAACATAATTTGCGTTCATATGACTTTATGCAGTTGTGAGCGCTGTAAAACCTTAATAAAACTAAAACATAATTTAAAGCTTTACCTTCTCAGAGCCGTGGTAGTTATTCGAGACACATAGCAATTAATTGCGTGTTGAGAGTGATAATGATTGTGACCGTGTCACACAGCATCTTTTAAACTTTTTTAAAAAGCATCAGTTAATACAAATCTGCTTATTTCTGATATTTTTCAAACCATAAGATGTGTAATAAAATGCATTCTATTCTTCTGTACCCTAGGAAACAAACAAACAAACAAAAAACAACAACAAGCAAACAAGCAAACAAAAAAGTACCAGTTTAAACTGATTCAAGTATGTAAAGCCCATGCATTTTCTTTAATATACCTCAATGTCATATTTAATTTAAAAAGTGAAGCAAATATTTCTGATTGTCGGAGCCAAGGCTTATGTTTTCTGCCAAGAACTTTAACAAAACGACCAACAACCACCGGTTCCAACGACCAACAACCAACGATCACCTGCTACGCACTTTCACCTTGCGTTTCTCTGTACTCTAAAGACAGTCACAAAAGACCTCAGTCAAACAGTGTGTCTTCCATTTATTAGTTTTATTATGACTGACATTAAAAACACACAAAAATGTCCAAACTCTCCCAAGCATACAAATCCAACCAGTAACATCAGATTGAGTAACATCTCGCTCTCATCCTGTCTCACTGGCCGTATTGATTGTCAACGGAAAATAGGATTATCAAGTCGCAATATGGAAAAGCGGATTGATAAACACACTTCCTCTGTGTTAATCCACGAGAAAATGTAGTTCCAGACATACTGTGTGACCCCAACCACTTTTCTCATCGACTGTCGTTGATGTCTCGTCTTGCCAGGCTCTTGCACAGGTTCCCCTGTGTTTATTAATGTATCTGTGTGACGTTCTATTGCAGATGGCGCATCACTGGAGGAAATCCCAGTGGAAAAAACCATCGCTGACGGTGTGCTCATTGACTGCACATGGGAGGCAAGCCAGGACAGAGAATACCTGGTCACTGTTGAGGTAGGTTGCTTCCCTTTCGGAGATCATGACAAATTTAAAGGAAAAAAAACCTTTAAAAAAAGAAATATATCCCCTCCCCCGA